TTTCAGCAATTCAGTATCAATTACCCACACTTGACTAGACGTTTACAACAATAGCTAATTTTGTTATGGTATCCATCTATGTTTTAAAAATATTAACTTAGAAATTAGTACCTTTTCCCTGAATTTAAAACTACTTATAAATCATACAAAGGAATCACTTTGGCCGCTGTTAAAATGTACCCATATCTGGAAAGAAAGTAGTACTAGCTTTTTAACAGGATTCAGGAGCACTATGCAAAAGTATTATTTTTCATTCTCTTTATGTTCAACCAAGGCCATAAAGAAACTGAAATTAACACAAGGTGGCATGGTTGTACCAAGTTAGAGAGTCCCAAGATAAAACTGAACTGACAGTCAGTAATGATAGAGTTTGCCCCTAGACAGGCATCTATATTACTAAAATCAGTTGCTACTGAAACCAAGAGTTTCTCTTGTCACTAGTGTCAGGAAAAAAGATTTAGTGGACCCAGAGTGTCAATGACATTATATGGTCCCTTCAGATAAAGCTTGAGACACTGGGTGAGGCTGTGATTGGGAGCTTGTCTCTCTCCTGTTTTCCACTGCTAGTACCTTTATTAATACTATACTCACTTAAACAGAAAAAACCTTCTCTCTTGGCATCTATTTTTTGCCTCTTTGATAACCAGCACAGCTGGAAAGGAAATATGTGGCACAGACTTTGCTCAGTATTTGGGCTCCCCTGCCTGTTTCAAAACAAAAAACAAGATGATATTTCAAGCCTAAGACTGACCAGAAGTTACCTCTGGAGTTTAGCATGCACACTCCAAGGTTTATATTTATTTTCTCTAAGTTAACTGTTGATTAAATTACAGCCTTAAAATATCACTGAAGTTATGTCCAACTCCTCTGCAAGTCAGGCAGTGCTGAATGAATTAAATTATTCCCCCTCCCCCTGCAAAAAGTAGATACATTTACTAAATAAGCCCAATGTACTGAATGCTAGATTTTAATATTTCTTTTCTTTTTTTTTTTTATTTCTTTGTAAGGCAAAAAGATACACTACATAGTGTCTGATTAGTCTCACAACATAATTATCAAGTTCAGATATAATTACTTAATTTTTCCTTAGAAAAGACTGTATGCTGGCCATAGGAATATTTTTAATATAATCCTTATAGAGACTATTTTAAAGAGAAGGTATCAGAGAACAGGAGACTATCCTCCTCCTCGGAATACACAGCAGTTCAATCCCTGGACCAGCACTCCACTGGACTAAGTGCTGTACAGACGTAGAACAAAAAGACAGACTGTAAATCCTTTGGGACAGAGACCAAGTGTAAGGGAGATAACAGATACAGATAGATGAGGGAGCGCAAAGAAACAACAAAGTGTTACTGGTGAACACAACAGAGAGTAGTTACAGAATACATGCAGACAAATAGTTGTCAAGATTTTTATAGGCATCATAGCAAGATGTTTTAAAGGAGAAACTCTGGCTGGAATACCCTTCTTACAACAAAAATAGACATACATAATTCATATCAGAACTATACAGTTCCTTCAAAGCTTGCTGAATTAAACCAACAATAATTTGAAAATGATCTAATGCTTTAGCATTTATTCTAGTTACCTTTTTCTGAAAGATTCACACAAAAAAGCTTAAAAGGGTTATATTTTTAGTATGTAAAGAAACTACTGTCAGGCTGAGGTGCTATTCTTAAAAGGGGAAATTAAAATTGGATTGTTTTTAATCTTATGAAAAACAGGCAGACTGCCTGGTCATTAATACTGTTTGATACCAAGAACATATGAATCAGTCAGTTTATAGGGTGACCTAAAAACAAATCAGTAGGGGAGCCTAAAATAGAAACTGAAACATTATTGAAAAAAAATGTGTATGATCCCACATGTCCATTTTTTAAGGAGGAAGAGGAAAGGAAAGAAAAACCTACAAACCCCGAAGCTTTTAAATATTACAGCTTATAGCAGATGCCACAAGAAATTTAAAACATCAATAACTACTATATTCATAAAATGCATTCACATTTTTCTTTTCTAATATAGCAAGAAAGTAATCACTGTTCAAATATAGTAGTCCAGATTAGCAAATCAGTGCATAACTTGGAAAGTGATTAAAAGGAAGATTTAAGATTAAGGTATCACAAGCAAATGATCCTAGCACAGGGAAGGGCAAAATACAGTCTGCCAGGCAATTTCATTTGGCTTGCGGATGGGTGCCTATTAATATACTGTATCCGTCCCTGTCCAGGACTGCTCTTATTATGCTCACATGGGGCTGAGCCCTGCTCACTCCTGTGGGGGCAGTGCACACTGCCCTCCCACCCTCACCCATGGGAGGCCCTGACCCTAGCCCTGCAGGTAGGGAAGCGACGGTGGGCAGGAGAAGTGGTGGTGGTGGCAGGGGAGGTGGAAGTGGTAGCGGTGGCAGCAGTGGGTGGAGGAAGGGGAGGTGTGGGGAAGTGGTGGTGGTGGGTGGCTAGGCAGGCAAAGGGAGGGTGGAAAGGTAGGGAAGTGGTAGGGGAAGGGCGGCAGCGGGAGCAGAAGTAGTGAGGCAGGGGATGGTAATGGTGGTGGTGGCAGAAGTGGGGAGTGAGTGGTGGTGTGGTTGTGGTGCATGGGCAGGCGGGTTGAGGGGTGGGGAGAGTGAAGGAGTGAAGTAGCATCTGGGTGGGAATGCAAATATTGACAAGAGCTACCCTACATCAATTTATCAACTTCTAATATAATTAGCAATGTCTAGAAATTAAATAAAAGACAGAATAAGCATGATGAAACTAAAACCGTTATTTTTGTGACCACCATCCAATCACATACAGGCAACCCCCACTTAGCACTCTTAATTGGTTCCTGAAAAACTGAGCTTTAAGTGAAACGAGCGTTAAGCGAAACTGAAAATATTTGATGACCCAAGATGGCAACCACAATTGTTTTTAAAGACTCAAGATGGCGACCACATGCATTATAATGAAACTCGCTGAGTGCTAAGTGAAATCAGGTATTCCTTTAAAATGAGTGTTATAGTAAAATAGTGCTAAGTGAAACAGCATTAAGCGGGGATTGCCTGTATCAAGAAATAGGCATCTTGATGGACCAAAAACAAACAGAAAACTTATATATTAACGATAAAGCTATCTGACGCGTGCACTTGACATAGAACAACATTTTAGTTCTATGCCAGGGTTGTCAAGCTATCCCCTGCAGGCTGTATCTGCCCTGTGGAGTCATTCCATACGATTTTGGTGGCTTTGCAGTAGCTGGATGGTAGGGAGAAGCAGGTGTCAGCAGCTGGGTTGGAAGGGCTGGCTGAGCCTTGAACCAAGCTGGGTAATTTTGGCTTGCCTCTCTGGAAGTGCTGCCAACCCCTGTGCAATGTGTTCTGTTTTTTTTTCTTCCCAAAGGAACCTTGACTAATAATAAACTACTTTATTTACGACAAAAAAAAGGAAATGTACGGTATGTTTAGAAATTCATAGCTGAAACTAAAACTACTGGAAGAACAGATTTGTACAGATATGAAAAGTAATTAATATATTTTTTTTAAATATACAGCTCCAACTTTACTTGTTTTCTGCTGTTCTTCGAGTCCCAAAGCTGATGTTTGCACCTACCTCAAACATGGCATCTGATGATGACTGCACTTGGAGCTCCTTGAGGGATAGAAACAAACCCACAACCAAGCTCCTCCTGAATAAGATGCAAGTCTCTCATGCTTACCACTAGCATACAAACATCTCATTTACTTTCAGCTGATATAACTTCACCATCAATACAAGTCAGATGAGATGCCTGAAACCTGAGCCAAATACAAGCTTAATAGATGTCATGTTTCTGTACCATACATGTGACTTACATGCTCTCCCTTGCATTCTATTGCTTTTCTCCTGTTCCAGCCTTTGAGTAAGGGGAAAGGCAGAAATCTGCTGGAAATGAGCATAAAGCTCCTGGACATTCACTTGCAGAATCCCACTGCTCAGTTTTAGTCAAATCTCCATCATGCAGTTCTTTGCATTGGATTCTTTCTTTCATTTCACTTTTCCAGAAAAATTCCACATCTTGAAGATTTGAATATCTTAAGTCAATCGTATTAGTTAACTAAAGTTGTTTTCTTTTGAGGTAAAGCGATTTGTTACAGCTGATGGTGGGGAGATAGTCTTATTCAGCCTAGCCAGCCAATAATAAGGCCCAATACCAGCTACAGCTACAAAAGGACTAGCAGCCCCAGTATTTCAACATGACTAAGACTTTGAGGATGTGAGAAATAACCCTGCAAGAATGAGACAGTGTTAAACAGAAGCATGATGATGGCTGTCAGGAAACAAGAAGCCTAATATTCTTAACTATTAGTCATGACATAGGCCTCCAAAATAATGCAACTGAATTAAATCATGGAGATGTTAAAAATACTGCTCAGATTATTTTATTTACCATCTGGTTATGGAGCCTTTAGTATATACCCTGATGATCATTTTAAGCTTTCCCTTACAATCACAATGGCTATAAATTTACTTAAATTAGAGAGCCCTTTTCTTAGATTAAGACATATAGTGACATGGTTGCAGATGTACTATTTGGGTACGGGGTTTCTCTCGCCAACCACGGTTTTGAGTATCCACACTTAATATTCTATATACCATTTTGGCTACCACAGTATGCAGTTTTGAGTAACCATGGTTTTTCACGGCTGTGCATCAGCCCCACCACCTGCCATTTTTCCAATAAGTCTTTTGTCTTGCCAACCATGGGAACTTTCAGGAACCTAAACCCAGCGGTTGGTGAGGGAAACCTGTATGTTGGATCCTGAAGGAGTGTGCTGGACCTGAGTGAGTAGATATAACTTCGGCATCAAGCAGGCTTGACTAAATACTTACGAAGCGAGGATAAGGATGGTTGAGGATGTTGTTCAAATGATATTAAGATAATTTGATCAAGGCAACATGATTAAAATCACATTTTTCTGTCTCCTATTGTAAGGTACGAGTAAGGCCTGGTCACATTAGGGAAAAGGTAGCTAAAAATAAACAGAAGCATATTTTTTTTAAACAATTTTAGGTCATTGGCCTAAAGAGAATTCCATGGATGCAGAACAGCAGTGTTTTATACACCTGCAGATGAGTGAAGGGATTAGAGAAATTTAAATGATTCCCCAAAGGAAGAGTCTAAAATGAATTGAGGGGAACTTCTTAAACCAGTACTAGAATCTGAATTTTTATTTAATTCAATTTAGTTCTTTTATTTCATTAAATCACACTGCCTACTCATTTAAAAACAATTGAAATATTGTCATTTGAGCAAGAAATATCTTCATGCTTCACTGAACCAAATGAGATAGTTACTTTTCCAAGTTCTACTGAACAGCACTTCATTTTTTTAAAAAAGAACTGGCTTTCTTAGGGGCTTGACAGTAACACTTTGTACTACTACCTGGGAGACTATAGATTAGGATTGGATTTGGCCTTCTATAGCACACAGATCTCGGATGCACGGTGCTTGCCTTCTGAGCAAAGTGCCAAGTCAACCAAATGCTACCACATCAGCAACACAGTCATTCCAGCTTCAGCATGTGCAATCACTCAATTGCCATCTTCACTACAGGAATGTATGAGAGCAATAGCAGTAAAGAGAAGAAATTATATTAAAAAATAATAGCATAAAAAAATGGAATCATGTTATGTAATAAATTTAGATCAGGGATCAGATTCCTTCTAAAGTATGTACATTCAAACTCAAGGGAAGTTCACACAAGCATCCTGAAATGTGTCTTTTTGTCAGCACCAAGGTGAACGTATTAGAGGGCTAATATTCTGTCATACTTCTAGCACAGTCAAGGTCTCACTGCCCTTGCAGGGTGCTGGATGTACATGGAGATCTGGCAACAGTAACAGCATCAGCACACATTTTAATTTACTTAGGTCTACCTTGAAATTCATCTGTCTTACAGCAACATATCATTAAGCTTCTGACAGCTGATCTTGGCTCCAAGCTTCCTGAAAAAACAGTCAGGATGAGTACACTTTCCTGGCATAGAAGTACTACTGTGTTCTATCAAAGAACATTAAAACCTCTGTTCTCTTTAATGTGTTAAACAGTAAAAGGAAAGCCTTTATTTCAATTGTTGCTATTGCTGTTTGTACTAATAAATACAACTTTAGGTTAAAGTCCATATTATAAAGCAATCATTTTCAGTCAAAGACCTAAAAAATATGTATGAGATTTTGGTGCTCATGAAATTGGGTAAGATACTGGTAATGAATGCTAGACAAAGAACAGGAGCCAGGGACGCACGCACACACACTAAATTTACACACTTTAATTAATGAGCTTTAATTCTGCCTACATACACCCTCAAGCATTTTAATCCCGCACAGAAAGGGCTGTCTACAGCTTAGTACTTGCCCTGTTGATGAAGACAAGGAGCATAATACAACCACTAAATCTATTTCTACTAATATCACATTTTGAACCTAGGTTTGCGATAAAGGCTAGCACCCCACCACCTAAGATCTTTTCAAGCTGGCCTCCCTTCTTTTTCTGTCCTTGTAATCCTTAGTTTTGTGCTTTGTAAAATGGAGCTACTATGTGGCATACCCTCAGAAAATGTCAATATTCAGTCCTCTGTATGTCAGACTGTACATGTCTGAGGGCAGAATTAGGTTTTATAACAGAGAGGAATAATTTCAAGTATGGTGCTTTGACTCCAACCTGCCTCTTCGATAAAGCAAATGTTTCCCTGTTATCTTGTGTGCAACAAGTTCCACCAATCAATCTATAAAATTAAATGCAATAAGGATTCAAGTTCTCATGAGTTTTATGAAAACAACTGTGTAGCAACTTAATTTTCACCTCTGGTAAACCCAATATTTTGGCCTGATCTTGAGAAAGCTCAAGTTTCTACAGGGGGCAGACATACATTAATAATGTCTTTGGATAAGCCCCTATCTATACCACCAAAGGTTATAAATCAGGTGAAATAATGCTTTCTTCTGAAAGACAGTTGAGAAAATATTTCTCATGCTTTCCCCTTTCCCCTCAGCATTTTTGATACACAACTGGAAAATATCTTTCTCTACTGTTTATGAAAAATGACAAAATCTTTGATCCTCCCTATTTCCTTCCTACAGGATAAGAAACTTCTGGACACCATTACATTGAACAATCATGTATGTAAGCAACTCACATAGACAGACTTTCCATCCAAAAAAGTCTACAGCTATATCATCTATACTTCTTTAATAAAAAATAAAAGAAGATTAAACAGGATCTAGCCTTGTGATTCATTTGTTTGATAGTCGGGACTATGTATAAAAGGCAAGGGAACAAACTCATGCCCAGATAAGCCACTCTTTGGCAGGACAGTGAAGAGAAGCAGACAACTCTGTAAGATGTATTGGGTGGGAGGGATTTGGGGTTCAAGGCGATGTTCACATTCAGACTGAGTCTTCCAGAACTGGGGCATGTCCGGAGCTAAAGCACCTCCTCAGTCAGAACCTCTGTTAGAATAACCCTGTAGCAACCAAATCCTCTATCAAAGCGCACACAGTTGGGCCTAGGAGACCTGTGGTAGCTAGCAGAGCAGGGTTGATAACCCAAGACTTTTTTTTTCCCCCTGACATATATTTTACACCATGAAAATATAACCTTTTTGTGAGACCCTGGATATGGGCCAGGTTGAAACCATAGTGAAAAAAAAAGCTTGTAATAAAAGTTTGCAGATTAACAGCAAAAAGAAAGAGAGACTAGAGAAACTGGACCTTTTCAGCCTCCGCAAGAGAAGGTTGAGAGGCGACCTTGTGGCTGCCTACAAGTTCATCACGGGGGCACAGAAGGGAATTGGGGAGTTTTTATTCACCAAGGCGCCCCCGGGGGTTACAAGAAATAATGGCCATAAGCTAGCAGAGAGCAGATTTAGATTGGACATTAGGAAGAACTTCTTCGCAGTTAGAGTGGCCAAGGTCTGGAACGGGCTCCCAAGGGAGGTGGTGCTCTCCCCTACCCTGGGGGTCTTCAAGAGGAGGTTAGATAAGCATCTAGCTGGGGTCATCTAGACCCAGCCCTCTTTCCTGCCTATGCAGGGGGTCGGACTCGATGATCTATTGAGGTCCCTTCCAACCCTAACATCTATGAATCTATGAATCTAGGAAAACCTTGGGTTGGCAACCCTACTTGACTGCAGCAATGGTTACACCTGCTGGCCCCACTCAGGGGTCCCCTACTCACCCCCACACCCTGGTTCCCCTGACTGCAGCTTGCACCATGCTGGCCCTACCGCCTCCCCGCTCCATTCTCCATGTCCCACCATGGACCCCCAAACAAGGACCACTGTCTGCCTACATGCTACCCAGTAGTGTTACAGGTAGATGAGAGGCAGTACCAGGGGCAGCACCAGCACCAGTACACTTTGTTGGGGGTAGGGAAATGAGCCACAAAGCCCTGAGAGCTACCTTCAGTGTGCTGTGCTTCCTCCAGGACACTATGTGGCACTGCTGTGCGCTATTTTCAACACTGCTTCCAGCTTCTTTACTGACCACAGAGCTGATTCTGCAGAGCTGCTTTTGCTTATTGTTTTTTCAGATGACACCATTGTTTAATGGAATTTATGGACCGATGTTTTTAGTCTGGTTATTTATGAAGTATCTGTAAATTTAGAGACAGTTGCCAACAGTGTAGAAGAGTGCCAACTATATGCTGATCAATATAGAATAGACTTAGCTCTCACTACTACATGCATCGGTTTAATCCTCTCCCTCTAACACAAGTTTGTGGATCCTATTTTGGTTATCTCTGACATCCTTGTTTTATGCATTTGGGAAGTTCTTGGCACTTGGACCTGGCAAACTGATGAAATCTGGTAACTTTCTGAAAATGTATTTTAGAGAAACCTACTTCTAAATTCTCTCCTCAAACAGATCACTACTGAAAATCAACAACCAAGAAATGCAAATTAATGTCCCTCAAGTAAAACAGCCCATTGTTTCCTGTGAGGGTTCTAGCCATTGACTTCAAATAACTGAAAATGCAATAGTTAGAATCTGTTAGACCCTGACTCCATGTGGCGCCCAACAGGTAGGGAGATGATGATCCAATTGCTCATGGATCCTGTTACTCATTAGCCAGAGCAATCAGGGAGCAAACACCAGTACACACTGCTCGCAACAGCTTTATTCAAAATGGAGACAGCTTTGGGTGAGCTCCCTCAGAGATACACAGACTGTGAAACTGGGGAGCACCAGTGAATATTAGTTTTTTTCACATTTTATACACCTTGGTTCATGCTCATTAACACTTACTCCACCTTTGCCCCTCCTTTGTTCCACCCATATCTCCTCCTATCTCAAGCTCCGCCTCTGTTTACTGTTTGTTTCA